AAACGATGGGATTTCCACGGTAATGGATGATTCAGGTGACTGCAACGATCGGGAGGTCAAAAAAGATTGTCCCTAAACTAAAACTATTGGATGAGCTTTTTCGCTTCATTTGGGTTTTGTTATTCCAGGTGGAGAAAATTTCTCTGCAATAAGCACAGATCAAGGACAGTCGCATCTCAATCAATGCGGTAGCAGAAAATGTGATCGATGCCCATCATCCCTTTAAACCATAACATGTAAGTGTGAAAGCCAAACAAACGCATCTATTTGTTACGACAGCTTACTCAGACCTCTATGCGACGTAACCAACCAATAACAATAACCAACAGTTCGTAGCCGAAGAACTAAGTTCCTATCGATCATTGAAAACGTAAGCACCAAAACGGTTAACATGAAAGGAATGTTCATTTAACTAAGTGTGACATTCCTTAAAAGTAACCTTGTAAGACACGTTGCGCCTGGTCCGAACTATCGCAAGACATCATACAAACAACTGAAACAAGACCGGCATCATGGCAACCGGTCACAAACGTTCGCTTGACCCAGCAAATATTGTTACGCAGTCAAGTGGGGTTAGTTTCTCGGAGGTGTCTATCAGGTGGATATACAACCTAGTCCCCGATGTGCAAACTAGGTAGACCCATAGTGTTTGTCAGTAATTAACACCGAATATTTATCCGTCAATCGACTTGATTCATGCACACTGAACACATCCAGTGATACTTAAGCCGACCGTTAAAGTTTCTATGCTCCAATGTTCTGTGTAAACTCATATTTGTATTTCTAACGCAGAAACAAGGATTGCATTTTTTCGAAGTATTCTCCACCGGCGTTGATGCACAGTTCCATGGGATAAAACCATTTGGTGAAACAGCTCGACCAAGCCAAATCGGATAACTCTTCGGTCGGTTCAACGAAGGCCTCCACTGCGGCTGTTCGTGGCTCGTATCGGTTTTTACGCGTCATACACTTGACATGTGGGAACACAAAAAGTCACACAGAGCCAATTTTGCACTGTACGGTGGGTGACCAAACTCTGGATGCATTCCTTGGCCAGAAAATCGTCAACGAAATGAGACTTGTGTACAGGTGAGTTATCATGTTGCAGCAAGGTTCCTCAAGCTCGAGTCCTCGGACGATAGGCCATGGATGGAACGAATGCACCATCAGACCGATCCAATAAGAACACGAGTGGAGGAAAATAAAAGGGTCGTCTTCATCCATGGCGTCCCGCAGGTGGACGATCCGGATGATCCAAAAGCTTATCAGAACGACCGAAGAGAATGGCGATTCAAAATCTACTTGATTGTAGAGACTTTTTGACAACCTCAATTAATCATCTTACCTGTTCACCACATTGTCATGGTAACGACGATAATGAAAGTTACCCTTGGAACTCCAGAAATGGCGAACACAGTCTTACAGTTATGGCGGAAAGATAAAAACAGAAGGCCTCCGGAACTACGTGTGAGACCCCTACTCGATGCCGGGCTCAAATCTGGAGAACCCTTCTGATGCAACAGATCACTCCATGCAGGTACCGTACGCCGTCACGCGACCCATGGTCCAAAGTACCAGAGCTCCTCTGCCAAAAAACTAATGGTAGCCGACCGAGAAGGGGTCGGCCGAGATACCACTTCCTAGCAAAGCGAATTTCTACACCGACAGTATCTAAACTGTTTCTACTCCAATGCTCAAGGACTCCTCAGCAAATTTCCAGAGTTGAATTGACGTTTTATGTCTAGTCTGTGGGATATTATTTCTGTTACACAGACTTGGCTCACAGCTAATATTTCGGACTACGAATTGTCTTTATCAGAGATGTCTCTACTCAGAAACGATCGTACTGCCCGTGGTGGTGGTGTTTTACTCTACTTCCGAAACAGTCTTGATTGCGAACAAANGGACACTCTGTGGTGCAGGTTGAAGGTGTCCAAACATGATGATTGTTTGATTGGTGTAGTCTATCGTCCCCCATCNCTATCGTTCCCCATCATCCCTGGAGACGGTCAATGAAACGCTTTTACTAACTATGTCACACATTCTTACACAAAAATTTACCCATGTTCTCCTTATGGGCGATTTCAACTGCCCCAATCTCAACAAATCAACGACCGTCCGTCCATTTTTCGAACATCAATTCAAACGGCTGATTGACTCGCTTCCACTATCCAACCATGTGAAGGTGGCCACCAGGTTTGGAAACCTACGGTCACCGTCCATACTGGATTTAGTGTTGACCAATAAAGAGCCGATGGTAGTCTGTCAATGTGACTTCCCCCTAGGACGCATCGATCATGCAGTACTAACATTCAAATATGTTTGTTGCCCTTCGATTCAAGGAAGTTCTCTAGGTAACAAGCACAGATCTGTAGACTACACACTGCTGAAGAACTTGGCGCTTTCTACTCAGTGGGTTTCCTATGACGAAGAATCCAATCCGTTGGCCTCCTGGAAGAAATTTGATGACAATTTCACAAATCTAAAGCCTTCCGTGACTAAGATTAGAGTAATTACCAAATTCACCTATTCGTACAAGGAAGTGGCTATCGCTGAGGGACTTATCCTGGCGAGATTAATTTCGTTTTCTGAATACTATCACGTGGAATAATTATCGTTTGCTGAGGAACCACTGCACCAGGCTGATTCGTGAGGATAAATTGAAATACCTAGAGGTGCTAGCGCAGAGATTCATTTCTAACCCTAAGCTGTTGTACAAACACGTCGACTCCATTCGGAAAGTAAAGTTTAGTATAACGGTACTAAATAGCGTTGGAAGAGTTGCAGCCACTCCAACGGCAGCAGCGAAAATGCTGAAAATTCATTATTCAAACGTCCTCGCAGCACCGCAGGTTGAAGGTTGACAACTATCCCACCGGTTGCATCATCTTCCACTGACCTACGTTTCACCTACTGCTAAAAACGTCAAAGCGAAAATAATGGCTTTTCGAAAAAATGTAACACCAGGTGCGGACAACATACACCCGAAATCTCTGATCTTTTTGGCAAATCACATAACCGAAACGCTATCCATTCTGTTTCAACGAATGTTCGACCAATCAACACTCCCCCAATCGTGGAAACAAGGAGTCCGTTCACCCATATACAAAGGTGGTTGTCGTAGTGACCCCGCTAACTACAGCCCTGTAACCCGGCTTCCGGTGTAATTCAAAGTCATGGAATCAATTGTGGCAGATTCTCTGATGGAACACCTCGAAAGATGCAACATTCTTTCTACAGCTCAACACGGGTTTCGGCAAAAGCGATCCTGCTACACCAACTTACTTCTTGTTCGAGGTTAATGGACCAGTACAGTCGACGAAGGGGATGCGGTAGATGTGATTTATCTCGACTTCTCAAAAACATTTGATGGGGTGCATCACAAAATTTTGCTGTAGAAGCTCTACAATTATGGCGTTCGAGATTTCGAGTTTGACTGGATTAAAGCATTCCTCGAATAACGGACCATATCAGTTCAAGTTTCTGATTCTACATCCGGATCTATCAAAGCCACCCGCGGTGTTCCACAAGGGTCTGTACTTGGTCCCCGTCTGTTCCTCGTCTTCGTAAATGATCTACCGAAAATGTTAGGCCCCAAAACAATACTGTTTGCAGACAACGCCAAAATCTGAAACACGGTAACAGAACCTGAGGGCTCTCTAACACTTCAGGAATCACTCAACGCAGCTTATCAATGGTCTAAGGAGAACGACGTTGAATTTAATGTTTCTAAATGCAAAGCCTTATCCCTACGCCACAAGCGGAAATTCTCGTATTTCCTCGGGGACCAGCAGCTACCACATACTTCTAGCGAAAAGGACTTAGGTATTGTTGTTCAACAGGATTTAAACTGCTCCATCAATTGTGCCAAGGCTTTGTCTGCTGCTATGAAGAATATCGGCTTACTTCGGTGACTTTTTGACCGGTTTCAATCATTACTATTCCCACGTTTGCTATCAGCGTACATTCCACCCTACACAGAGTACGTCATCCAAGCTTGGAGTCTATGGCTTCAAAGTGATCGTAAGATGCTCGAGCGCCCACAAAGGATGACCACCAAGATGGTCAAGGGATAGCATTACCTGACATATGAGGAGAGATTACGATCATTGGGACTATATTCTGCTCAGTACCGCCGAACTCGAGGAGATTTGATTTTAACGTATCAAATACAGCAGAACCCAATCATTCGTATCAATCGCTGTTCATGTTGTCGAACAATGTAAATCTAAGGGGACACCGTTTCAAGCTACTGATTCCAAAGTGTCGACTGGAATGCCGGTGCCAGTCTTTTGCAGTCAGAGTATGCAGTTCTTGAAACGCCCTTCCACCTCATGTCGTTTGTGCATCCACTATTGAATCTTTCAAGCAGAGACTCGATGAAACCTCGGCACACCTCACATTCGTACACCACTAAAAGTAAACGCAAATTCACTGTACCCTAGATTCTCTATTATCTCCTACCTGGAACTCCATGTGACTCCTTTTTCGACGTGTAACAATTCATCTGTGTAGATATACTATGGGGACAAGAGAAGCACGAGCTTGTAAGTTAGTCCCATAATAAAACTTTGACTTTGACTTTACCAAATCGTNACAATTCATCTGTGTAGATATACTATGGGGACAAGAGAAGCACGAGCTTGTAAGTTATTCCCATGGCAAAACTTCGACTCTGACTTTTGACGCCTGGCGACAGCTTTCAGCACTTTCGGCAGACAGTGGGTGGCGTACCAGTCTCCCGTGTCTGTGCCTTGCCGTACGAGCGGTGCAGTAGCCATATGACTGATTTTGGCCATGAACACAGCTACCATCTGCTTTGCCACTGCGCTCACGTCCGAATTTCTGAGGCAGCGCTCCACCAACCGGCGTCCACTGAGCCGATAGTTGCTTGGCCCCTGAATCTAAACTGTACACCCAGATCTGAACACCAGTGATGATCTCTCAAACCCCATTGCAACATCCACCGTCAAACCTGGCAAGCCCGATACGGCACCAATTCACCCCAACTGGTCTCTGTTCCTCGTTGAATTGATAGGGTACTCAGCGTTCGAAAGCCCTTCTGGGGCCGAGCTTCTCATGGAGGGAGGTGCGGATTGATCTCGATGTCTTTCGCCAGCTGTCACTGTCAGTCGTGCATCCTCCTTTACCATCGCTTGCACAGCGGCAATGTTGTCCGCTGCGGCGGTCTCCGCAGGTCGACCACACCGTGTCTCATTATCCAGGGACCGTCTATCACGCTTGAATTCCGCAAACCAAACAGTGCGCGTCATCAACAGCTCGCAAGCGATCAACACTCTGCAACTGCTTTGAACCAGAAAATTGCCCTCCAAAGAAACCACTTGAGTTCCATCCTTACAGCCCGAGTACAGTGACCCTTATGGCTCATGAGCTGTGCTGGGCTGCGTTGGTATTTGTTTATGTGATTCGCAATCTCTGAACAATATTCACAATAAAATACAATTCAGGTTGCGTTTGCCTGATTATCTGCACATCGTACGTATACTGCGTATTTAGAAAACTTTTGTTCCGTCCTCGTAGTTTCAAACACAGTGATGGATGGGCGCTTCATTCGCTATTGATAACCATTCCAGAAAATGCAAGTGCGTCAGATTACAACAACCTTTCGTGCCCAATTTCGAACTCCAATGGATTACCATGAAATGCGCACTGCTGATGATTCCCAACATGAATGGAACAACTTTATTCCTTCTAGGGCTTTTCTATGAGATCTGTTAAACGCAAACACCTTAATAAGTCGGCTAAATCCTCGAAACCGCCCCATGGATTTAAAGGCTGTAATCGCCATCGATAGCAAGCCTAATGTTACTTAAACTCGAATGGATTTGTGAACGTTGGTGCAGTCATTCTTACCGTCCATGTGTCAATGTGTTGAAGATTTCAAGTATTTAAGCTACGCTATAGCCAAAACAATTGATGAAATTCAAGCTCTACGCTGCTAGTTATCGGTACTCTTTAGGTTACGAGAGGGTCCTCCGCGGTTGAGCACAAGACCTTAGTCTTGAGTCGGTATCTGGCTTCAAAGAGTGCGTCTGCGAAATAATGCCCCGGGTGAACCCCGCTCCTAGTTTTTGCACGTCGAGGATACCTTCACTGAAGAGGAAGGAAAGACGATACCCAGAGTTATGACCAGGTCGACAAAACACGGGCATAGGACATGCAACCCACTAAAACAGGGCTACAAATTGGCCTATGGACACCATGGGTACACCACTTGGCGACTGGAGGAAATGAACACACCGTTCGTGCGAGTCGGGTTGTGGAATCTGTGAGTCAGCAAACTAACCTCTGAAAGAACGACTAAAATGAACTCATAAAAGGAACTCACTGGACTGAGGAACAACTTTGTATACCGGAAACGGAATGACGCTTTCGTGTACTGGACGGAGAGACAGGTAGTCCCAAAGTGCCGGATGCACCGTCCGCAGTTTGGGTAAGCGTTTCCCTCACTGCCTCGGCAATCGCATCACGACTGAGACACGCATCCAAGTGATGATTGAACTGGAAGAGCGATGGAAAGAGTACGTCGGGCCAGAGAAAAGGTGATTGGTCAAACGCGTGGAGGGGATAAGAGCAAGACAATCGAAAATCAACACGACCACGACAATCACTAGGACCGATGTTGCCAAAAGAAAACAAAAACACTAATCACAAAAACCTTTCGTTTCATCATTTAACGGCGATCGTCGATCCAAGTGGTTTCAGATTTTCCATGTACAAATCAAAAGACACGTACATAGGCATTTCACCAATATCAAAACGAGATTTTCGTTGATGTAAGTGTCAAACAAAACCCGCCTCCCAGGACAACGCCATGGAAACATGTATGATCGGATGGTAACTAACATGGAAAACGGGCCAGGCTGGCGCCAGCGAATCACTGTGTGTAAGATATAAAGTCAGCACACCGTGACCGCAAAACGTATGGCATTTGCGTCGATGATGCACGCCATCGCAAAAGCAACACTTCAGGCATAGAGCAATGCATGGATCAGGTAGTCCTAAAAATGGATATGTGAGTTTGGGTCAAAAAGTGCACCGAATAGACCGAAAC